AATGTTTATTTTAATTATATTTTATATTTAAAATTAGATATTAATCTTGTATTTGATTATATTTATCTGCAGTTAGTTACAATAATTCATATATGGAGTAATGAAGCTTTATTAAGTTGTACTTAAGCACAATCTACTTGTAATCTTGAATTTCAAGTAATATGTATCAATAAACAATATTTTATACATAAAAAATGGGTTTTAAGAGTTTTTATCAAATGTTTTATAATATAGAGGGTGTTTGGGATTGCTTATTTAAAACAAATTTTTTTTTTGTAAAAGAGCTTATTAATTTATGTGGTATCAAACCATAGTTTTATAAAAAGTGTTTAGATTAGCTTATAGCGGTACCAAAAAATCAACAAGCTGATAAGTTGTTTTTTAGTGTCTGACAAATTTTGCTTACATATGTAAAATGACTAAAAAAAAACAATCTTCCATATTATTGACTTATGAGAGTGTTTGAGATTGCTTATTAACTTATTTGATATTTTTAACATATAAAAATTTATTTTTCATCATTTATAATAATATCTTTGACAAAAATTTATATCAATAAGATTAATAATTTATATCAATAAAATTAATAATTTACATCAATAAGATTAATAATTAACAAACATTTATACCAATACCATTAATAATTTAAGACAAAAATAATAGATCTGTACAACAAAAGAATATTAGATCGTCATTTATAATGTAATATTTTTATAACCAAAATATCAATAACAAAAATCTCTATTAGGGTATAGAAAGGATATTAATAAGACATGGTTAAAATGGTAAACTAGTAATAAACAGTTTTTCATAAGTCAGGAAGGATTAACTTATCAAAAATTGTTTATTATCGATTTGGTACCGGTATAAGCAGTTTTATTTTTTCTCATCCAAACACTAACATTTAGCTTATTACCGGTGCCAAACTAAAATAAATCAAAAAACACCTAAAATAAGCAATCTCAAACACACGAATAGTATAGATATCAAAATATATTATTATCTATTTGTATAGATGTACATTATCCTATCAATGGTGGATTTTAATATAAAACGGTATTAATTTAATAATATTTATTTATATATATATTTAAAAAAAAAAAGATAAAACCAGAAAAGGTGCGGAGTACACACCAAGCGCACAATAACAACCTCCTTAACAAGTCATTTATGTCCTATATACTTCTTGCGCAGTTGGCAACCTCCTCCCACAATTCCTGTTTCCTCGAACACCAACCACAACAACGCTAGTCTCAGCAAAATCAAAAGGTATTACTATCATTAATCAAGAATCTGCTACGCGATTTCATTGATTTTGATCACTTTCTTTCCAGATTTCGATTGTGTTCTTCGTTTTAATCGATATATGAACTGTTCCGATGCCAATACGTTTCGATGATGTTTAATGTTCGTTTTATTATGATGTTCTATGAGTTATTTGGATTAGCATCTTTTGATTATCTGTAATGACATTTGATTGATTGTTTTTAAGACTTCGTAGTGATGCTTGCGTTTTGTTTTGAGTTCATCAGAGTATCATTGCATATGTCGATTGATTGATCTGGATTAGTTTGTTTTTGAGATTTCGATTCTGTTCTTCGTTATATATGTATGAACTGTGTCGATACCAACGCCTATGCTCGTTTTTGAGACGTTGCGTTAGTTTCAGATTCGCATCTCTTGATCGTCTATGATGACATGACTGAATGTCTTTCAAGACTTCATAGTGATGCTTGCGTTTTGTTTGAGTTCATCCGAGTAAACACAGATTGTCACTTGCATTTGTAGATAGATTTTTAGATATTTCAAAATGTGTTTATCTAATTGCTATCATGAAATCACTGCCGATGTTTGTTAATGATTGATTGATTAGTTACTACCTTGTAATGGCATTAAATGGTTAATCCGACCATTAGCATAGGAATTGGATAAAAAATATAGCATGTTTGTTATTTGCCTGTATTTTGTGCTTGTGTGTTTCGAATTAGGTCAAGTTATGAAGTTTTTGTTTGGTCAAATATGGATGTTTGATTTAATTTTATTAAATTTGATTATGGGTACACAATAGTTTGATTCATGGTTTGAATTTTTTATCAACAGATTTTGAGGACTTCAATTTGGAACTAAAGACAAATTCTGTATCATGAAATATAAGAGAGGAAGTATAGTGGAGGTATCGGTCAAGGACAAGCTTTGTTACCAGTCTTGGCGTTGTGCGCAGATAGTTTCTGGCAATGGGGGCAATTACACTGTCAGTTATGATGTGTATCCTGGTTTTACTGACGAGGCGGATGTGGAACGCATATCTGTGAAATATATTAGACCATGTCCTCCTCTGTTGGAAAATTCGGAACATTGGGTTCCTGGTGATGTGGTGGAGGTGTTTCACAATCTTTCATGGAAGATGGCAATTGTTTTGAAGGATTTCGGTTGGGACCAGTTTCAGGTCAGATTAGTTGGATCTTTCAAAGAGTTGGAAGTAAGCAAATCAGAACTCCGTGTGAGGCAAGCATGTCAAAATGGTGAATGGACTGTGATTGGCAAGGTACCTTTATTTAAGAAATTTCTGTTTTATTACCAACTTTGGATGATAGATTTTTGTTTACCTTTTTCCCTTGTGAACCGATTACATTAATGCTCCATTTGCATTTCGGCAAAAGGTTTTGTGTGGAGGTGCCCACTTCATATGAGTTTTAAGTCACATCTTTGCATCTAGGATTCTGAACAGATTCTTATTTAATTTTATATGTCATGTCATGTATGAGGTCCGAATTCTTAAGCAATAGTGGTACAACATGTTAAATATTCCTTCTTTCTGTGCGTGAAGGTTCCTAGAGATTATAAAGATCCAAATTGCAACAAGCTTTTGGTGTATGATCAAGATTCAGGTTTCCTAACTAAGCAAAGGGAAGCAGAAGGAGATTTTTACATTAAAGATCTTTGCTTTGATCCTCAGATTGACAACCATTTGGAGTCACATATTGTTTCCTCTAAAACCCTAAAGCGAGTGTCACCCTATGGTCATTCTCAAGGCAAGACGAATCAAGGAGGTGCCCAGAAATTCAGAATGTCTGAAAAAGAGGGCACACGTGTCCGAGTGCTGGTAAAATCACCTGAAAAGGTAGATGCTATTGCTAATAGTAGAGAAATGCTTTGTGAAAAAGACCTGCACATTGCGAAGGAAAATATAAATGGAACCTTTGGATCTTCGCGTGCTTTAACATTAGAACTTAACGATGCTGACAGTGTCATGAGTTCCAGTGGTAGTTGTAGCATTAATAGCTATTGTGGATCAGGTCCTGTTGAAGAAATTGAAGGTCATGATAGTGATGCAGAGTCTGTTTGTCAACTGGGATATCAAGAAAAGATTGATCAATCTCCCACCAACTCAGCATTGTCGGATGAAATCCATAGACTAGAGTTGCATGCCTACCGTTGCACTCCTACCGTTGCACTATGGAGGCATTACATGCATCCGGACCCTTAAGTTGGGAAAAAGAAACAATGGTAACTAATCTTCGTATGTCGCTCCATATATCAAATGATGAGCATTTGAGTGAGCTAAAAAACTTGATTTCTGCAGCTCGTAATAGATGACAGCCAAACCTGGAAGGAATGGCAGTTTTCATTCTTTTCTTCCTTCTCTTGGTAAAAATTCAATTTTCCTTCATTGAATCCCTTCATATAACTGTAAAAAGCATTTGTACATCCGCTTTATTGTTATAATGAAACATATGATCATCTTTTGAAATTCTTGTATTACATACTTAGAGAAAGCATTTAATGGTTTTGAGCTCAACAACATTTATGTCAATTAAGGGTGTCATTTAGTTTACACTTCTTTGTAGTTTTGCAGAAGAGAAATATAGTACAATATGTCCAATCTGTCCCAGGTTTTTCTGTTTGCAGTTAGATAACTTGTTTATTTGCTCTAGATTTCATGAGTAGTTTGTGGGGTTTATTCTATGATGGTTTTGCCCCTACCATATGCCATCATAAATGGTTCTTTTTTGGGATATTATTGATGCTTACCCTTCATGTTCCAGGGCCAAAGTAAGAGGCTTGTACACCTGGCTTCTGCATCAGTAAGTTGATGCCCGGGTGTGCAACCTATTCTATCGATGCGGGATAATCTGACACGTGCAGAATCAGTTCTGCTATATGATCCAGTATTTTGTCACAGCCTCACAGGTTCATATCTGTTATATCTGTAAGTCTCAAATTTATTTTCTTGAAAGATGCAGGGTTAAGATCTCGCAGCTACTGCATGACTCCCAGGTATGGGAAGGGGTTTCCTTTAGCTTGGCTTATTCGTAAACTTTCAGTTTTTACTTGGCATTGTGTTATCTTGCTTATCAGTAAGTGCCTTCAAAATTAGGGTCCTTTGGATAAATGACCTTAAACGAGTTTTCCAGTTAAGAGCATGACCTAATTTTTTTTGCTCAATGTATGTGACTTGTCCCTGGTTAAAAACAGCCTGCTCCCGTAAAAACTTAGAAATACCCTACTACGAATATAGTTTTCTAGAAGGTCATTCAGCTAAATCGCCCCTTCAAGTTATTAATCTTTACATTCGTCATGTTCATTACGTAAATCATCTGCGGAGAGTAATATGATTCTGTAAGGCGGCTGAACTTGTTGGTCTTGGGCTTCTTGCCAAAACCTCAAGTGTACGCCGTGCTTGTTTAGTCTCGGTTTGAAGAGGCCATTTGAAAATCAGAATCAAAATTCAAACCCTAAATAGGAGTTATGAGTACACCATATTTAAAGGATAATAATGAGAACGTTGGGCTTGGTTGGCAACCATAAACAAGCTTATAAAGTGGCTTTTCGAAGATGGGGAGGCGTTGAATAACCTCACAGTTTTCTTTTAAATTGACCTTCTGCAAGTTTTAGAATGCCACTTCCTTATGCAAGCATGCCGGAAGGTTATGCTTAATGAGCTTAATGGTTTGGGTGGCTTATTCGCTCAGCCATACAAGAGCTTTTCTTTACGGGTTAATCGTTAAGCTATTAAGCCAAAATGGCTACATGGAATAAACCAGGACCCAACACTTGTCCCAGTTAAGCAGTACTCTTTTAGGTTCATATAAACCCTCCAACTTGTCCAGCTAATAGGGGTTGTTTAATTACAGCTTAAAGAGCTTAATTGTCTGGGCAACTTATTCGCTCAGCCATACAAGAGTGTTTCTTTATGGCTTAATTGGTAAGCTATTAAGCCAAAAATGGGCATATGGAAAAATCCAAGACACCTCACTTGTCCCTATTAGCCATCTCAAACAAATTATAGTAGAAATGCCTCGTAAATAATCCAACCCGCCCTCTTTGCCTCCCTCAAACCTAGCGGAATCCGTCCTTCAGACAAATAACTTAATTCATACATGACTTAATGGAAGAAATAAACGTAAACAACCTTCAGCATAAACCATAATAAGCTCGGCTCTGATCAGTTTGGTCTGTGCTCGTCATAGGCTCGTGTACACCTAACACCTCTTTGTTGGATGCAATAGATGAAAAACATATGGAGCTTTTTAGATCGAGTAACGTAATATTTGATATTTTATAAAAAAATTATACGGTTACTGAAGTCGGGCATTAATTGTTATACGTCTTTTAGATTTCATTCAATTATGTTGATTTGGGTTACTTTTGATAAGTTATGTGAGGCGCAGGCATGATCATGAGCATGATTTGCTTGAACAATGCAGGGTCTGAATCGAACAGAAGATCAACTCAATGATGAGTGATCCATGGTAATAATCCAATACCTAACATTCATGTTTTTTTTGTTTTCTGTAATTTTTTTAATGTAAATGATGTTTTTTATCTCCAATTATGACAAAACCACTCAGCTGTCATGAGATTTTGTAGAATTGTATGCAATAAAAACGTTTGTTTTGTAATAATCAATTAATAAAAATATAATTTAATTATTTTAATAATTATTTATAAAATTTATAAATAATGGAATCCAATTCCATTCCAAATCCTACAAACCAAAAACATCAATTCTCCCATGAAATTCAATTATCTCAAAAACAATCCTGCAAACCAAATGGATCCTAAGTATTCTTAAGGAAACTCAAAACTTCAATCAACATGTACATCCATCGTAACATTTCCCACTTTTAATTCTGAGTGAGTTTTTTGGTTTCTTGGGCAATCATATCAATCTTATTTTATGCACTTGAACTCTAAGGGACCGTTTACCAAACATTTACCCGGTAAGCGCTTACCGGTAAATTTAACACTATCATTTACTTATCGGATAAGATTTTAGTTTACCAAAACGGTATCGTATGCAACAATTTACCTGGTAAACGCTTACCGTGGTAAGAGTCGTCGCCTTCACTTACCGGGTAAGATTCTTGGTCCTTGTTTCGCTATTACAAGGTAAGATTCTTGATCCTTACCATATTCATCCGGTGAGGTAAAAAATGACTTGGTGTTCACTTACCCGAGTAAGCGTTTGGTAAACGGTCCCTAAGTTTTATGATTATACAGAAATGTTTGAAATAAGATCAGAACTTGTTTTAATCGATCTTTATCTGGGTTTTTTAAAAGTATAATAATTTTATACAACAAATATTGGTGTATACTTTTCATCTTTCGTGAGAATGACCTCGTAGAAGATTGGCTCTACAGGAAACCTTGATATTGTTAGACCAATATCCATCGTATCTTTATCTGTTTTACGAGTGTTCTAAGTTTTGACTGTTTTTCATTATTATGAAGATAATAACTTATCAACGATGTTCGCCTTTTTTTTTTCAAATACAATCTCTTACTTGCTATTATTATATTATTACGATTAGAATTTAACATAAACTTTAATGTAGAGAATACCTCATAAAATAACTGGTCCCTTAGTGACTCTCTAACCAATAACCACACACACTACTAAAACAAAGACCTTTACCAACGGAAAAATCCGCCGGAAAAGTGGAATACCGACGGATTTCTAGCGGATATCACAGCCAGAAAAAACCATCTCTGTTAACAGGTTGGTCTCATAGTGCAACTCTAATCCATCTTTATTTATCTGAAATGAAGTTGGTTCAGCATTCACTTCGTTATAAAACCACTCATACCCAGTATTGCAAGTGAAGCCATCGAAAAGCTACTGAACATCGAAAATATTTTTGGCACTTAAAAAGAAAATAAATATTTATATACGTATATATTATTGAACTGATAAAATAGACACGATTCTTCTTTAACTATTTTGTAAATACATCAAGTAATTAGTGTAACTTTAAATCATATTATAAAAATAATTCCCTATTTTTTTTAAAATAAAACAAGTGAAAACTTATAATACATTTGACCACATATTTTCACATAAAATGTGCTAATAATTGTCATGTTATTTGGGTCATAATGTAGTCAAACATGATATATTTGAGCAAAAAGTTGATTATCGACAATCCTAATAAACTTTGTATTTGGGTATTTTTTTTTGCTCAGTCAGTGCTAAGGTTAGCCAAAAGGATTGAACACGTGACATGTCTTGTATTTATGCAAAGTCACCCCACCGGTTATAAGTCATTATCATATACACAGATGATGATGATTTGTTAGAGTATCTTCAATGATATTTTCCTATAAATAAAACATATAGTTCTTTACAAGTCATTTCATTGTAGAGAATTTTTATAAGTCACTCTGTATTTTTGGAGTTCATGTAAAAAAAACACTGGTTCTTACCTTCAATTTTGCGTGAAATATTATTTTATTAATTTTTAACTGATTTAAAACAATATAATAAAAATTGTAAACAAAGTAAATGAGACCCACAAAAAAGATTATTGTGGGTCGTTCCATTGGAGATGTCGTAACACCTTTGAGGGTGTTTTCAATATACACACTTATTATATCAAAATTAGATCAAATTATACATTAAAAAAATGTAAAAAATAAGGGGTCGTTTACTAAACATTTAGGAGGTGTTTGTGATTACTTCTTTTAGGTGTTTTTTGACTTATTTTAGTTTGGTATCAGTGATAAACTAAATGCTAGTGTTTGAATGAGAAAAAATAAAACTGCTTATACCGGTGCCAAACCTGTAATAAGCAGTTTTGATAAGTTAATCCTTCTTGATTTATGAAAAAATGCTTATTATCAGTTTACCATTTTAACCATGTTTTATAAATGTTTGTTAATTATTAATCTTATTGATATAAATTATTAATTTTATTGATATAAATTATTAATATTATTGATATAAATTTTTGTCGATAATATAGAAGACTGTCTTTTTTGGTCATTTTACATATATAAACAAAATTTACCAAACACTAAAAAACAACTTATCAGCTTACTGCTTTTTGGTACCACTATAAACTAATCCAAGCACTTCTTATAAAACTCTGTTTTGATATCACATAAGTTAATAAACACTTTTTACAAAAAAAAAAAAAACATAAGTTGTTTTAAATAAGCAATCCCAAACACCCCCTAATTACTCATAAGCAATTACCGATTGAGCTTGACAAAACCAAGAATCTTACTCGTTAAGAGTCATAACAAGGATCGATAGTCTTACTCGCTCAATGAGAGAAAACAAACTCTTACCTTGTAAGTATTTACCGGGTTTAAGACACTTACCAACAATCTATTTTGATGACAAAAGATGTTATACAGTAAGATAAATGATGTTGATGTCTCTTGCCAGTAAGCACTTATCCGGTAAGTATTTGGTAAAAAACAGAAGAAATTAGTAGGTATGTCCACATTTAACAAGCAATATGTGTGCATTCCAAAATTTGAGGGTAGAAAGTGTAAATGTTTAATAGAAAAGGGGTAGGAGTGTAACAATATATAAGCACCATTTTCTCGAAGAAAGAGCAAAGAAACTCGAGAACTTTGGTAGTCGTAATAGCCAACGCAGATCGGAGTCGGAGGTACCTCCATCGGCGATCCCTAATTTTGATTTCAAAATTCCGGCAATGTCATCATCGTCTTCTCATCCCGCCGAGGGGTAAATTGCTTTGATTTCACGTTATTTGATTTCATTAATCGTTTAACAAAGGAAAGGGAGAGGGCTTTACCTCTTCGTGTGGATAAATTCAATTGTTTCTGTCGTTGATGATGCAGTGACGATGTTTATATAAGACAGAGTAAAGGAGCTCCGTTCAAGTTCTTGGTTCCGCTGATTTATGCTCCTGTTCTTCCTCTCAGTAAGTTTATTTAATTCGTTTTTGTTTATTTACTCCGTTATTTTGATTTGATTATTGATCTGCTAGGAAGAGATCGATTAGTTATCATCCAGGTGATATTTGCTGTTTGATTGTGTTTTTTCTTCTCGCGTTGGTTATGTTTTGCTCCATTTTTTTGGCTTCTTACATGAAGAGGCTAAACAGAGAATTTTGATTAAGTGATGTGAATTTATTGCAAACTGAACGTCGTCATGACTCTATCATCAGCTGTCGAGATTTAAAATGTAGCTAATTTTCTTGTTTAATTTGGAAGGGATGAGTTTGTTTTCTTCTCTCATCCTTTTAATCCACTGGGAAAGGATTTGATAAATTTAAGATGGGAAATTTGTGTTGATGAATCTACATTCTACATGGGTTTTGTTTGCTCAAGTTCTGATTTCTCCGTGGTTTCAGTTCGAATTGCATTGAAGCACAAACCGGTTTTGAGGGATCGTTTGTTCATAGGAGTTTTGGTTGGGGCATTTGCTCATGGATCTTACTTGGTGTATCCTTTTTCCATTTCTTTTAAGTTTTATGTCATTAAAACCTGCTTTTGAACTTCTGTTTGTGGTACATTAATCTATATGTCTATGAACTTGTCAAATTATGTGCACTTGTGTCCTACCTATGAGAGTAACAGGCTGCAAGAATAACAAATATGAGTGAATATCAATTCTTGATTATGCCTGGAGCTTTGCTTTTGATCTGGTGGAATGCGCTCCGACCAAAAAAAACCAGAATGAAGGTATGGGTAGTCGGGTGTGATTGTTTATCTATTTTGCTCAAACATTTGATATTATTAGTAGCCAAAGTTCCATAAGGTTAAAGGGCTGAATTGCAACGGAGACATTTTCTTTATCCTTGTCCTTGTAACCCCTCCCCTCTTACGATCTATTTTGTGCTTTAGCTTGGTCTACGTCAAGAATCAAGATTAACCACATTTTATATGTGTGCGTTCTATTTGCTTACTTTTGTAGGACAACTGAATGATCATAAATTACAGTGGAAAAAAGAATACCCCCATCTATAAAATATCCCTATTGGGTAACAAACGTAGGTAGCCGTAGGAAATTCTTTGGTAACAAAAACTTTCGTTTGGCAACTTTAGTAAAGAACGAACAAAAACAGACCTGCTTTAGTTCAAAACGCGTAGGGAACCGTAAATAAGTAAATGAACCTTTAAGAATGTTTGAGAAGCTTGTTCTTCTTTAAAGATGTATTCTTTTTGTGCTTGTATTTGTATGTAATTTTCCTTGACAAACATGTTCAGATCAGATCTTTACGACAGCGAGAGCAAATGAACCAGCAGAGCATTCTGCATGCAGCTTTGTGTGTGTTGATCAAATGTAGCATGGTGCTATGGTAATAGCCTAAAAGGAAGCTTCAAATTTATCATTAAATTTTGTTGGACTTGATTGGTAGTTAGTTTGGAACAAAATAAGAATCCGGGAACTCGATAGTACCAAACTTTAAGGATGAGAATTCAATATTTTTGGTGGTGATGTATTGTTACCAAGGTGGTCTGAGCTTTTTCTTGTTTTTGTTTTGACTTTCACTTGACTGCTATAAGCATTCTTTGCTTTCTACTCACAACTGTTTTATTAGCTAAATCTACTTTGTGCCTTTAGACTTTAAGGGCATGTTTACCTATTGCTGACGGGTGCTGATTCGTTCAGCACAACTGACTTGGTCAGCATCAGCTAGTTTACCCAAAGACGGATCTGACCTATGGTGGCTGAACACGTACTCGGTCAACATTATCATTTCACTTACCTGATCAACACACAAGGATAAAGGTATTTTATCAGCTACAAAACACGAGGATAAAGGTATTTTATCAGTAAATGCTAACTTAATGACTCTTCAAAGTGACTACTAACCCACTCTGAATGACTTATGTGATCTGGAAGGGTACACGGTCAAATGGTCAACGACTTGTTGGATTCGATTGTATAAGAACTCAATTATGTTGGTTATGCCAATTGAAACAGTTTAGGATTATGATTTTTCTATCTTATTCATTTGTGGTTTGATTTAACTGTGCATGTTAGTACTCTTCATGTTTGCCCTCAGACGTGTAGCTCAGTTGGTAAAGAGACGGAGCGACTTTGCTCAAATAAACAACAGGTTCGAGTTCAAATCCTGCGGGAGACGGGTTTGAACCCCTCTGCTAGAAGGAAATTGATCTGATACATCTCAGTGCATTTCATTAGTTTTGACATTCAATTAGGATTGATCCAAGGCTGACGATCTCTTCTTACACTTCTCTATAACTTTCTTTCTTACCGGAACCCAACCCTATATATATATATAGGGTTAGGTTGCTGTGAGAAGGAGAGTTAAGGTGAGAAACGTAAGAAGGGATCTTCATTCTTGGATGTATATTAGGATGAAATGAACCGTATCAAACATGATTCATGGGTGAGTTTGAGATTAAAGATGATCAAGGGTTTAAATTTATTCTTATGTTTCTCACGTTAACTTTTATTCTCACACGATTCTTTGCCTATATATAATATTTTATTGCATCATTATTCTTATTTTCCTTACCTTTTCTTTGTAAAAGAGACTCGAGAACACAACGTCAGGAACTATCTCTCGATGGGGTCAAAAGGGTCGTAGCCCTACTAGACCCAAGGGACAAAAAAATAAAAAAATTGGCATATATGAACCATCCCAGATGCTAAAGTTTTTCTTTCTTTTTTTCTTTTTAAAGTATATGATATTTATATACGACAAATGCAACAAATAAACTCACACACCTCCACACCTTTAGTGAGGTTTGAGTCCCTAACCTTCTAGAAGACCAAAGACTACGATACCACTAAGTCAAAGGTCTTTTGGTTCCAGATGCTTTGAGTCCTTGACCTTCTAGAAGACCAAAGACCATGATACCGCTAAGCTAAAGCCAAGAAATCTTTTATTTGTGTTTTTGAGACAAGGGAGAAGAGAAGCAAAGTGAAGGAAAGGAAATAATAAATTTCCATGTTCTTTTAACACACACAAACTCATATATATATATATATATATATATATATATATATATATATATATATAGAGAGAGAGAGAGAGAGAGAGAGAGAGAGAGAGAGAAAAGAGCGATCAAATGAAAACCATTCTTATTTGTACAAACCGTACAAACCACTCTCATACGTCGATTTCATTGTTTAATCTTATGAAATTTTTCATGAAATTGTTTAATCTTGTGAAATTGTTTTATATAATACTTTTTTTGATGAATTTGTTTCATATATGGTTATGAAATTGTTTCATATAATATTTAATTAAAACTTTAATGAAACTATTTCATGTATTTTTCAAAAATTAAAATAATGAAGATGATAATATCCATGATTAACACCCTTCACAATAAAAATGGTTAATCAACTTCTATAATTACAAAAAAATGAACAAAATGAAAAATTATGATTGGTTGAATGTGGTTTTTACGGTTTGTACAAATTGAGTGATTTTTATTTGAACGCTCCTATATATATATATATATCCTTATTTGTTTTTTTCATTTTTTTTGTAATTGACGGGTAAATATGTAATTTTACTAATGTTAATAAAGGTTATTGTTTTTCTCAAATACAATCATTTCTTTTTCCTCCCAGTTTCCTTCCTAAAAGATTATACGATATTTTCTTTTTTCCCTCGCTCTTTCCTTCACAAAAATGGTCTCGAGAACACAAGCTAAGGGTGCAAATGTTGGTAGAAACATAACGAACCCTGAGCCGGAGGATGTTCGAGCACAAACACATATTAGCTAACAAGTACGAGATAAAAACATTTGCATGCGTTACTCTTCTGCATACGAGATTTTATCTCCTTAAATCGACATCGTCAACTCCTAATTGCAACCCAAAGACTCGTGTATTTCCTCACTTTTAGTTTCAGCCTTTCAAGTTAGAGATGATCCACCAACCATGACGACATATAGAGCTGAGAAAATTGGTTAAGCGTCGGTCCTTAAATAGGTTCCAACAATGGTGGACCCAGAATTTTGGCTGAGTGGGTGCACCTCTAAGCTGGATCAATGGCACGCATAGTCACCCGATGTGTTTTTAGCCGAATATCACCATTTCGAGGGATTTTTTAAATTTTGGTTGATTTTGAGGATTTTTTTTAGGCTTTTTGGTTAACTTCAATGAAATTTTACAAGTTTTTGGTTAATTTATAAAGAGACTTTTCGGTTGATGTTCCTTGTATTTTTTAATATACCAAAATACCCCTAAGTTTTTAGCAGATATAACTTTCATACCTCAAAAAGATTTCTACTTGCGAAAATTGGTTGAAGGGTGCACATAACCCCGTGCAGACCTTAATAGGTCCGCCCCTAGGTCCCAACCTCCGAAATCTTGAAGCAGTCCCTCCATAACCGGTCTAATAGAGATCAGTTTTGAGGGGACCGACACTAAATGAAATTGGGCAAATATGCAATAACCACAAGAGTGGTGCTTGATTGGTTTGAGCTTGGCTCCAAATATCAAAAGTAGCAGGAGGTGTCAGGTTCAAATCCAAGAAGGAATAAAAATCTCCTTGTGTCCACAGAAGTTCAAATGCGATGACTCCAGATTATCTGCAAAACAGCCTGAGATTAATCAGCTCGTATAACGGGTTGGATATCCAGATTAATAATAAAAAACTGTTGAAAGTGATACCCACCAAAATGCATATTGATGACCCTCTTTTTTGTCTTGATGCACCAAGTGATTGGATTGTATTATTGAATTCATCTTCAACACAAATTCCAAACACTTGATTAATTGTATTGCTTTTTTTGAACAATCAAATGGTCAAATTCTAATCCAACTTTTGATATGTATTATATATGGTTGTATTCTTAAAACCATTAAATTGATCTGATAATCTTTAAATCAGTTTTAAAATATTATCTGAATTATTAATATTTTATTTTCAGTTGATTTATATGAGATTTAAAAATCTAATTTATAAGATCGTCTTTGATCAACAGTATTTCAAAGAGAGATTAAAAAAGCTGTAATATTTTAAGCAGATATTAATTCAATTCATACGAGACAACTCTCCACTAGTTTGATTAGCTTTCAACATCAGTGTCATATAGCATTAGTCGACGAGTCTGTAACAGGGGTGTGCAAAATATCAACCGCTTCAATTGGAATATGACTGATGCAATTAGAACTGACCGACCATAATTGGATATCTAATTGTAATTGGATCAGATCGGATTGAAAATTTCAACATCCAATTTGGATTGGTCGGTTCATGGATGACAGTTTAGAACCAACCAAAACCGCACCGAAATGAACCAATCAACATCCAATCACCCATCCAATTAATCATCCGATGACATTTCAGTTGTCCATCCAACCATTATCCAACTATCATTTAATTAATTTATTTTCAAATTGCTTAAATTGGAATATGTTTTATGTGAAACTTTGAATTTTTAACTTTCCTTGTGTTGGTTTTAACACGTATTAAAAGTGATTAATTAATTTGTATCGTTGTTAGAGAATTGGATTGAATTGACACATTGAATGGATTCAATCCCATCGGATCATCCATTGGAGATCCAATAAAAGTACCCAATGAATGAAACCGAACCGATCCAATCATCCATTGGATTGGATTGGATCCGATCGGTTATCCAATATTAATCGGATCAGATCGGTTGGCAAAATCCAACATTCAATAGATGATTGGACCAGTTCGGTTTCCCTCATATCCAATGAATGTCAACCGATGAACAGACCGAGTGTGTAAGTTGGTACTTTTTATATTGTAGATACAGAATTTAACTAATTAAATTCAGGATAACTGAATGATTTCTTTTTATTAAAATTCCTATTTAATTTCTAATTAAAAATGAATTATATGTATTTGTGAAAAAAAATAGAAATTTGATCTATGTTAATATAATTAATTTAACACTTAAAAATTATAATTTACTTAAAAAATTTAATTTAACACTTAGTTGCCATTTATCAAACGCTTACTTGGGTAAGTGAACACCAAGTCATTTTACTTTACCGGATGAATATGGTAAGGATCAAGAATCTTACCCGGTAAGAGCGAGACAAGGACCAAGAGTCTTACCCGGTAAGTGAAGGCGACGACTCTTACCACGGTAAGCGCTTACCGGATAAATTGTTGCATGCAATACCGTTTTGGTGGACTAAAATCTTATCCGATAAGTAAATGATAGTCTTAAAAATTTACTGATAAGCGTTTATCGGGTAAGTGTTTGGTAAACGGCCCAATATATGAATTTTGATTGAGACACCACTTGGATCCCCTTTCTTATCAAATAAAATCTCATTGAAAATGTCACAATATATAATCCTTTCAATACAACACCAAAATAATTGGGAACGATTTTGGAAACGTTAAAATTCATGTCATTAAAATCGAGCAAACGACAAGATTAATTCTTCTGGGACCAAACGTCGTCTCAAATTACGCCCTTAATCGATATACTAAGATGGATTGAAATCTTAAAAGTCATATGTAGATCGATGAATGTTTGATCAGATACGAAGACAATAACCAGACCCCTCGATTCTCGACCAAACGAATTACTTTCGTAATACTAGAAACATCCTTACCCCCAAGAAGTAATAAATATTTGGTTGTGAACTTGAAAACCCTTCGGTTTTTCAATAAAAAAAATGTTGGCATACTTCCGTATTCGATACAACCAAGAAGCAATAAACATTTGGTTGTGAACTTGAAAACCTTCACTAAATGATCTTTGGTCTAGCGGTATGTGAGTTTTTGACTTTATAGGAGGTCAGCTTTTCAAACTTTGGTGAGAAGGGTGTGTGAGTTTATTTGTTCTATTTACCGTATATAAATATTATATACTTCAAAGAAAAAACTTGAAAACCTTCCGATTTTCAAAAGAAAATGTTGAGCTAGTTCCATACCATAAATGGTTTTGCAAGAATGAATGAATTTATTGAAATCCTATGATTTTACGAGACTTCGTATGATTTGTATATATTAATGTTTTAAAATATGTTAAAAAAACATTTGTTTTACAATAATTAATTAATTAAAATGGAATTTAATTTTTTTTATAATTATTTAAAATTTGTTTTTATATTTATAAAAAAATATTATAAATCAAACATTCCAAATCTAATTGCTTCAAATCCAAAATCATTCCATCAAACCAAACGCTGATTTAATATACTGACCAAACCGAAACTGGTTTTCATGGGACAAAAGAAATATCTTGGATCAAGACCGATTTGGACCCACCCCAGACCCGGACCCGGACTGGTTTTTTACTATGTCTAATGAACAGCTCTAAAATAGAAAGTAGAAAACATTGAAAACAATTTAAATTAAGAGAATACGTAATTATCATAAAGAAGGAAAAGGCAAAGAATAACGATGATTAAAGGAATTAATAAGCGTTGTCTTGTGGAAACTATTGTCCGACTTGATGGCGATAAGAACAAGAAGTACTCACTTGCAACTTGCGTCAATAATTCAAATTAAACAACTAATTACGTCTGTATCATCATTAAAAAACGTATTAATCAGCTTTCAGCAAACTCCATATTTAACTTAAGCAAATACTTTATTTATATACAAATTATTGGATTACTATCATACATAAAGTTATGCAATCTTCAAGAGCCGTTTAACCAGAGATCCTTGATGATAAATAAAAAAGCATTATATACATAATGACGTTATTCATATGGCTCTACGCAGTAACATTTTGAAAATAATAGTTACTAAATAAACAAAAGGAACAATCTAGAACTTTAATCAGACTTGTACGGCACTAATTGCAAAGTTGGAGATTATACGAACACATACTCGCCGGTAACCGTAGATCATAGATCAGAACGGTCGGAGAAATCGGAAGCGAGACGAGAAGCGATGGCGGAGTGATACATCGCATCGTGAAACGACTCCGTTTCCTTCGTCAACATCCGGAGCTTCCTCGCTTTTTCTTCAGTAAAGTTCCCCGGCGATATACGAGACCTAACGGTTCTCTGATCCAGATCCAATTCAGATATTGCTCCCGATCTCGCCGATAAAGTAGTAGTAGTAGTAGTAGTAGTATTCTTCCGGCAATTATCGGCGTTTCCGGAGTCAATGTAGTCAGGTTCGGAGGACCAGCCGAAGAGTGGAGTCCACCAGCTCTTGCGTTGTGAGTCGGACTTCTGGTGGCCGGAGGTGGAGGCAGATGCTCGGACGACGACCGGTGGCTGAATTGGCATCAGACTTGCTGCCATTTTTCTAGAGAGAGAGAGAGATATTTCTTTCTTGCGTTGTCGTTAAAGTTTTGAAGGTCAATAATGGGTTACGGTGGGGGTTAGGTTTATAAAGGCAAACGGGATCAAGATTGTACACGTGTCAGTTTTTGTCGTTATGTGTCACGTGTGGGGTCGGTACTCGCTTTCCTTTTTGGAGTAAATTACCATTTTGGTTCGTGTGGTTTTGTTGAAAATTTGTATTTTCCAAATTAATTTTTTTTCCAGAAATTATATACAAGTTGTCTGAATTATAAACAATGAACCACTCGGATGGTGTCTGATTGATTTAAACTTGTGTTTCAAAAGTTAAAAATGTATGGAGGTCTCAGGTTCGAATCCAAGAAAGAATAAAAATTTACTTATGACCACAAAAGTTGAAATGTGGTGACTCCGAGCTACCCGCAAAACGAATGGTCATCTTGGGATTAGTCAGCTTGCATAGCGGATTAGATATCCAGGTTAATTAAAAAAATTATAAACAGTGTGCGCTTGATTTTTTATTAAATTTTGTATGGATAAATTTGTCTCTCTTTTGTATAAATTATAAACTTTTTTGTTTGAAAGAGTCTTTCATAGATGAAAGGAACATGTTTTTTAATTGAGAGAGACATGTTTGGATCGGTAATTCGGCCGACGACTCTAAGGGAATTTGTGCGGGCCTTCCATCTTACCGTGGCTATCTAGTCATTGACCCATTTGCTTGTGAAACCAATTCACTTGAGTGAGACAGAGGAGAGTGGAATTTCGTGTGTAGGGGTGAAATCCAGAAGAAAAAAAAACTCGACATTCTGAATGAAGTTCGTCTTAAAAGCTTAATAAATAAGTCATTTTCTCTATCATTAAGCCACTACCAAGCAGTCATGGATGACTTATCAAATAAGTTGTGAGTCTCATTAAGCTCATTAAGCTGCTAACAAACAGGCCCCCTTACGCAACTTGTATAACCCGTTTTTTCCCAATAAAATAATCACAAAAATTAATTGATTGTGATATATATAAGATTTAAGAAGTATGAATAAGCTGTATCAAATGGTTGATGGTGAAAAATAAATTATAAGTAGAGAAATAACATATTCAAGTTTAGAAAAATAATTTAATGTACCAAAGTATCAACCCGAACAACCCGTACGGTTTGGGTTGGGTTGAGTTAAGATTTTTCAAACCGCAAGTACTGGATTGAGTTGTTCAAATGTCTTCAACCCGATCAACCCAACTCATGAACACCCCTAGTTTAGACATGTGGTTTACATTTGATTTTGTGATACTTAATAATCAAATAATTAATTATAATATAAATCATATTGTAATATACAACATTTGGATTTGTTTTCCATTGTTTAAAATTATAATAAATATATAATTAACAATTTAAATATTTATTAAATTCAAATTAATTGTATACATGGTTTTTTGAAGTAACGACTTGGTCGAACTTTCTTCAATTTCGACAACGAAAAAAGAAAAATCAGTCCGTATGCCACCTGCGACCTATGGAAATATTCTCTTATTTGGTTCTCGAAACTCTAAAATAAAGACATTCCCAGTATATACACATATATATACATATATATACACATATATATACATATGTATATGTATATATATATATATATATGCACACACACACATAGAACAAAAACAATTAGAAAGAAGACGAAGGTGATAGCTTTGTCGTGCTTCGTAAGAGCTGATATGACGGTCCACGCACATGTTTTTTTTTATTTAGCTTTCAAAACGCGTGTACGTAAATGTGGTCCATTGTAATCATATACGCTACAAATTTCCGACGAGAATTCTTTTCATGGTATTAAATATGATAATAAATCAACCGTATGGTCGTAGGAAGGGAAGTATCCGTAAGGCATGGTAAAAAAAAATGGAAACAAACCAAAAAGGTGGTGCCTGATTGGTTTGAGTTTGAGCTCCAAAGGTCAAAAGTGACTGTAGGTCCCATGTTCGAATTCAAGAAGAAATAAAAATCACATTGTGGTTACAGAGGTACAAATGCAGTGACTCCAGGCTACCCGTTGGGTGGTCGTTCTGAGATTAGTCGGTTCGCATAACGGGATGAAAATGATATTGCAAAAATCAGATGACGGAGAACATGTCCATATAAAATAAGTGGTTTCTAAATTTTTAGAATATAATTTATTAATATATTTTTATCAAAAAAATAAAATAAAATGATATATGAAAACTATTATTTCGACATCATCTGGTGTTGGGTTCTTCGGTGAATGTAGGGGCGGATGAACATAGGGGTCTTAGGAGCCTTGGTCATTGGTTTTTTTTTTCTCTCTCGATAAAGTGAAACATCTTCAGTCCATTAAGGTTTTAAGTATAAAATTCTTTTGGACCCTTTTGCTGATCCAATCCATTTGTGTTCTGCCTCTGCATTTAAACCTGCAAATGGAGATAAAAGAATGTTTATTTCAATCCGTCTCAAAATATATTTACACACAGATTTGTTTCAAGAAAATGTGGTTAACTGAAAACCTTTGTATGCTTAATGAATAAGCCATACACAATATTAAGCCAAAAATACGGGTGCATAAAAAAAATTGGCGAACCCAATCCAACACAACCTGAAATAACCCAGCCCGTAGCTACCCGATGTCTAACCGAGTTGTAAAATAATAGGTACTCGATTGAAATTGGGTTACGATCATTTGAACCTAATCCAGCACAACCCAATACCCTTCTCTTTCTGTTATTTAAAATGATTTTAGGTTCATTATTAATATGTATTTAGACCACTTTTAAATTTTTTTATTTGTGTCCATTTGACTTATCCATTTGTTTTTGTATTTATGTTCAGTAAATGTGATAATATATATTTATATAGGGTCGGGTTCTAGTGAAAATGAAAGTTATGGTGAGAAACGTAGGAAGAGATTTCCACTAATTGAATGTCAACACTAATAAGGTGCACCGGATCAATTCCCTTCTAAAGCGAAATTCATTGGTGGTGGAGGAGAGTTGAGTAACATAATTTCATTATAACAATATTTATAGGGAAAAAATTTCAATCGATAGCACCTTTTGACTATAAGAAATAAATATACATAATTTTTTCCAAATGGTGGCACCATTTGACTAAGAAAATGACACTAACAGGATTTGAACTCGGGTCTGTGGTGGAATAAAAAGTCTTGTAAACCAACTTTACCAAATAAAACTTGTTCTCAATGTAGTTTTAAAATACATACGGTGACACACAACAAATTAATACAGTTGTACCTTTCGCGAACCTAATTTTTTTTTACCCTTAGACGGAGGAATAATACGGTGGTACGTGCCACTGTATGCACCACTATAGGCATGTTCATGAACAACCTCCTTCAAACATCTGATTCACCTTTGGTCGGACACTTCACTTCAAGCTTAAACCTCCGTTTATGATCGGCTTGCCTTCTCGGTATCGTGAGTCTAAACTCTTTAAGCCGGCTAACTACTAATGGATGGATATATAGCTCAGTTACACTCTCTTTTACCTCTCCTCCGTCAATGCAATCAATCCTCCATTTTTTATGTCGTAACCATTTATAATCATGACTAGCGACCAACTTAAGCGGTTAAGTGCGTCGATGATCATAATTAGGTCTGGCCATAAACTTTCACCAGTTACCCAGATTGCCCATCTCTAGTTACATCGGTGGTCGGTCAAATCCTTTAACTTTAGACTTAATGAAATTGGGCCACAAAGCAAGTATACAATACAGCCCAACGTCGTCTTTCCAAGTAATAAAGTGGTACAAGTACCGGAATATCGTCCACAGGGATTGGAGCAAAAGTTAAATTAGAGTTAAATAAAAGAGAAGATTTCAGATGGCGAAAACGAAGACT